CCCCAAAACCCCAAAACCCCAAAACCCCAAAACCCCAAAACCCCAAAACCCCATGATCTTTTATAAAAATGGAATGGCAAAATATCGAGTTTATTTTTATTGTCTTAATAGGCAGGCATTAGGTAATTATTCTTGGGTTTCTTCTTTAGTGTCTTCTACCTTGAAAGCTGCAGCCTCCTGTTGCTTAACTTTCTGGTCTACAACTCTAGCAGCTCCAGCCTTATCACTATACATGTCCATTAATCTGGAGAAGTCGAATCTTGGCTTTTTGAGCATCTTTACTCTCTTCAAGTAGATGTTCTGGAGTGGGAAGATTTTGTTACATTCTTTACCAATTCTCTTCTCAATTACTCTCTCAACAAACTTTCCGGTAAGTTGTTTCAATGGGACAGATTTGGCCTCATCAATAATGATGTCTCTCATCTTCTTTCTGATTTTTCCTTGTTGGCAGGCGGAAGCGTAGCAGGTAGCCTTCAATTGGGTCTTCCTTCTCTGGGTGAAAGCAAGAGCGAAGACTCTCATGAAGTAACCGTCTTGGGTTTTGACATCAACAAATGCCTCAATGGTGGATTGCCATTTCTTGACAATGTGACAAAGTCTATCTCTGGTCATAGTCATTCCATAGAAAGAAGTATAGCACTTGGATCCTTCGATAGCCTCTACTTGCAATTGGATCTTCCTCCATGACATTTCTGGCATGTTCTTTTTGAGATCGGCCAATGAAATCTCGAATACTCTGCCTTTTAGCTTGTTTGATTCTTTTCTTCCGGCGGATGCCTTTGTGACTGGAGTCAAACATGCTTCTCTGGTTTCGAACACAGATGGAGCGAGAACAGTGTACCAGTTTTTCTTGGCGAAGGCATGTTGCTGCTTCTTCTTGGTTCCCTTCTTTTTGAAATTTCTTGGATTTTTACCTTGGGTCATCTTGAATTTTTAGAGAGTTTCCCTATTTAATAATAATAAAATCAATTATATAAGTCTTTCATGGGGTTTTGGGGTTTTGGGGTT